AGTGTTTGCCTGGTGCTAGACCAGTGTAAGGACCTTATAAATCTAATCTATTTTTATGCAAATACATTGATTGATCTTATTTACGAAGAGACTTTTCCATCTTCAGATGTGGACTTGGGGTGGAGCTTCGCTTTCTCTGTCAACTTTACCTGTAGTGTGATACTTTGGGCCGAGCCTACAAAAATACCCCCGGGAGCTAAATTTCTGCAGTGACTTTCAGCATCTCTCAGCAGAAAGTCTGCAAGGTACCGGAGCAGTCAGACAAACCAGATGTAGTTTTAGCACGAGAAGGAGCGGTGGCATATGCTTTCTGGGAACTAAAAGAAGATGCTACGGTCTCACCTTTCTCCTTTAAGGTGGTTATATATGCTGGCAAGCCACCAGCTCGCGGGGCCTCTAGAGCCATGCCTGGCTCTTAGCCGGCGTGTTTATGCAATTCAGAACTAAGCCAAAGAGCTGCCGACCTCTGTGAAGGGCAGAGAGTCTTCCTCGGTGCATTCAGAGAAAGCTTTCCCATGCCCTGAAACAGGAGGTGAATCTTTGAGAAGGGCTGATGCTGAAGTGCCCCGGTCTCACATAACGTTCGGGGCCAGGTTCTTCTTTACGTGGAATAGGTGTAGTGTGTTTGTTAAAACTCTCTCCAAACCTCAGTGCTCTCCGAGACAGAAATGGAGCTGTTTATCAATAATAGATAGGTTTGTTTTTCTATTTGTCCTTATTTCTTGGGAGCTGAAAGTGCATATCCTAGCACCGAGCCTAGCGTAACGCGCCTTCTTGCTCCTCTTCTCTTGGAAAACCTCTTGCAGTGTTTTACATAACTCTTCCTGCAGAGTTGACTCCCGGCGCTGATGCGAATGTGCAGAGGCTGTAGCTGTGCGAGGGAGGGTGGATGGGCTGTTTTATGTTCTCCTTGGGAGGCTGGAGTTGAGGAAGCCGCTTTCCAATCCTGGCGTGCTGGGCCAAAAGCGTGCGGGAAAGGAGGGGAGATAAGAGCGCTCGGATCAATTGCCCTGAGTGCGAATAAGAGGAAGGGAGAAGACGACCCCTGGGGCCTAATTAGCATGCTGGGTAGACATTGGGTGTCATGAACAATGATCCTATTATTATCGGACTTCATAATTAATAGATAATGAATAATTAATGAAGCATCATTTAACTGTAGTCTGGACTTACATTCAAATGGAGGTTTTTGCAGTCATTAGGAAGAAATCCTTTTCCTTGTATTGAAAAATGCAGTGCGCTTTCAAGTGTGGTTGTGTGTCTTCTTTTAATCCCTTAAATATTTAACCGTTGGGATCTTAGCTCGGAGGTGTTTCAGAGGGGAGCTGCCAGCCCTGTTACATATATGCGAACCAAGTTTGCGAGGCAATCTCCATCCTAAATATCTTTTTCGTTTGGTTGGTTTGGTTTTTCGCAGCCCCAGCAATATTTGTATTACTTTTTTTCATGGTGCAGCCATTACAAACAGGCTTCCTTTTTTTCTCCTGCCCTCTCTCTTTCCTTTAACTTGTCTTTTGAATGCAGAGTGCCGTATGGTCATTTTAAATCGGTAGGTGCCCTGCCCAGATAATGTTAATATCTAATTTCAGGGCTTGTCTGATAAAACGGCAAAAACCATTCCAAAGGAGGAGCTTCCAGAAGGGGATGCTGCAGAAAAAGGAGGATACATCAATGGGATTGTCGAGCAGAGACTTAAAATGCCCCCTCTTTGAAAGCAACGGCAACATCCCTGGCAATGCTGCTCTTGAGCCTGTAGATTAGAAACTAAAATCTCCTTGGGGAATGGCAACGTCCAAAAGCAGCATAATGCTCATGTCTTTATTCTAATGTGGTCATTTGCTTTTCATTTTGAATGAAGTAGCTGTTTACATAGTAATCAGCAGACACTTACGTGCACAGATTGGACAATATGCTGACAGGCTCAGATCTGCTTGTGACTCAATTCTGAATAATTAAGTATCACTCCTCGCGGTGGCTGGGGTTCACGAGGAAGCCTTCCGAGGAGAATTAACCTTAAGGAGGAATGATTTTTAAAGCATGGTGCAGCAGATTGCCACGCAGAGTGACCTCTGAGGATGTGAGGCGCGGTTTGGGAGTCTGTTAAGGTGATGTGGGCAGAGCCTGGGACCAGGGTGAGGGAATACTCTGAGCTGGCTGGCGAAAGAGGTGCGACCCGGTGGCGTTCCGGCTCCTGTGGTTCCTAAGTCCTACCAGGTGGTTGTTAAGTGCCTCAGTGCTTGGAACCATGAAATGAGCGTAAAACTTCACGTGGGGATCTTGAGATACGGTTTCGCTTGTCTCAACAGCTGTCTCAGATTTTTGAAAGTCTTTTTAACATGTGCTTATTACAGTTCAGGACCTCAAGGGTCTTGGTTATGAAAAAGGGAAACCGGTTGGTTTGGTGGGTGTGACGGAGCTCTCCGAAGCCCAGAAGAAACAGCTGAAGGAGCAGCAGGAGGTAATGCCCTGAAATTATTTCCAAATTCATTTGTGTACCAGTGTACTGTGTTGCAGCACGGCTGGGTTAGGTGGGAAAATGGAGGTGGAGATAGCAAAGAAACTTTCCCAGTGGCCCACAAATAAATCCCTAGGATTTGTGCTGAACGCCTAAGAATCCTGTGATGCTGCAGTCAGCAGAAATATTAGAGGACTTTGGGGAATATGAATTAAGCCAGCCAATTGCTGTCCTACCAAACTAAAACCCAAAATCTATAAGGTCTGTTGTGTCACATCTGCAGCTGGTTATGTATGGCTTCAGCAGTGGGGAGAAGGTGAGTGGATACTTGCAAGTGTTGGGGGGGAACGAGAGCAGAATCGGCTTTTGCGAGAACACGAGGGTGGTGGTTCAGCTGTGTGGGGACGATCAGGTGGCAGCAGTCCTCAGTGTTAATATCAAGGTACTTCTGTCAGAGGAACCAGCGCATAATGCTGCTGTTTGATCTGAGAAGCGAGCGGATGAGATCAAACAACAGCGCTGCCTGTTGGGATTTGTAGTTGTCATAACCTGTATTCCGTACGGCAGCCGGGGCGGGTGCGGGCTCTGCTGCAGAACTCCGTGTGCATCTGTGGCAGATCTGCGGCCTGAGAACGGGTTGTCTTATTGAGTGCGCTGTTGCGTCTCTTCCCCTAGATGCAGCAGATGTATGATATGATCATGAAGCACAAGCGAGCCATGCAGGAGATGCAGATGATGTGGGAAAAGGCGATTCAGCAGCACCAACACGGCTATGACAGCGATGAAGAGGTGGACAGTGAGCTGGGAACGTGGGAGCACCAGCTTCGCCGCATGGAGATGGACAAGACGCGAGGTGTGTAGGGAGCTGCCGGGCAAACCTCCTGCTCTGTGCTTGTACAGAGCCCTCCAGAGGGAGACGCCTGAGATCACGTTGTTGGCGTGGGAGGTGCAGGGTCACTTTTCGCTGGTCTGTGCTGTGGCTTCCCTGCCTGTCGAGTGGAGATAATAACCGTCTGTTGCCGTGAGGCTTTATGCTTCACAAACCCTCTGAAATTCCCAGTCAAAGAACACTGCGTTATTACGGGTTTCTCTCATCTGTGTCTTGGGCAGAGTGGGCTGAGCAGCTGACGCAGATGGGCAGAGGGAAGCATTTCATCGGAGACTTTCTTCCACCTGACGAGCTGGAGAAATTCATGGAGACGTTCAAGGCGCTGAAGGTGAAATAGCAGGGACTTCACGGGGTGGTGGCAATGCTTCAGACTTGTCCCGTAGCAGCGAGGGAAAGATCTCAAGTGTGCTCGGCCCTTTTTCACAGCAGTTAGCTACCTTGCGGCCTCGAGGGACTTCTGCCCTTACGCTGGGAGCTCTGTTACTTTTGGGGGAAACAAGAGGGTTGTTTCTTGCTCTTTGCAGAGAAAGGGCCGTAGCAAATTAGAGAACGGACTATTGGGATGGGATTGGAGTGTTAGCTGAAATTACAGACAAGCCTCTCGGACTACCCACCGTTTGTCTGCTGTTGTTGTTTCCAGTAAGTGGCTGCTGATCCCAAACAAGGAAAATTTTTATCCAGATGATTGCAGTGAAGTGAAAATATAAAGCCTACAAAAAGCTTATGCAAAGCACTTCAATACCTGCCAATTCTTCCTAAACCATAGAACTTCTTGGTGCTGGCACATCCCTCATAATGTTTTCGTGTAGCCAGCATGGGGTCTGATGTTCCTTGGGGATCCTGGCTTGAATGAGAACCGTATCTGAAGCTTGATCCAGTGAGCAACTTTAAATTCAAGAGCTAAATATTTCTCAGCTTAATCTCACAGTAGCATTCGCTGCTTCTTGCAGATTGTGTTATAGGGCTGTGCAATGCTTTATCATTTACCCATTTTCTTCTCTGCAGTGGTGTGGAACTGGAATCCTAAGCAATCATGCTAGTTATTAATTGTTTGCCAGAACCATCCTAACTTTGAGTAGCTGAAGCTGGTTTTCCCCTCCTCTGACCCCCAAAGATAGGCGCGTGTGAAAAATAACCAACGCTCCCTTTTGTGTCTCTGCAGGAAGGACGTGAGCCAGATTATTCCGAATACAAAGAGTTCAAACTGACTGTGGAAAACATAGGTTATCAAATGCTAATGAAGATGGGCTGGAAGGAAGGCGAGGGACTTGGCTCGGATGGACAGGGGATTAAAAACCCAGTCAGCAAGTAAGCAGAGTTCTTCTACTATTGATTTAGTCCTTTCCTCTTGGGCTGATAATTGATGCTCCTGCCCTGGCCTACTGGAAGCAGCTGCAATGATGTGACTGTAATTCATCACTTGAACAGAATATGGAATCCTCATAGCAAAGGAGAAAAATGGTTTCTGACTTCTTTGGGGTTCCCTCCCCCCGAGGCCTGGGTTTGTTACCTGATTTCAGGCAGGAGGTATGGTCTGAGCCAAGAGTATTTTGTTTCTAATCTCAGTTTGCGTAGTGCGTTCTTCTGAGCGGTGCCTTCTCCCCACTTTCCCTGTCTATAAAATGAAGATAATACTTGTCTGCACCTCACCTCTCCCAGGGCATGTAAGGATTAAATCATGTCTTCAAAGTCATAAATTTATTTAAGTATTAAAGAACGTGCCTTTTGCATCTGAAGCGCCGTTGGTGCCTGCTAGCTTGTCCCTGGTGTGCTGTGGGTGAGAGGCGATTACCAAGATTGCTACAGCTAAACCTGGGTTTGAAAGATATTTCAGTCCAGATCAGCATCAGAGAGCTTTGTGTGTGATCGTGCAACTGCCTTGACGTCACTCTTTTGCACAGAAGCTTTCTGATTTGATTACGCTTTGTATATAATAAAGCTTTATGAGAGTTCTCTCCAAAAATAGACGAGCATCTCTTTTTAGGTAGATCATCTGTTGGTAACATATGCTGAACTTCAAAACCAAATATTGGGGATAGGAAATACTCTGAATTGTTTTTTAGCGTTAGATCCCTTTAGAAATATCAGTAGTTTGTTTACTGCACAATAGAAAGTATCTCTACAAAGCACTTCTGCTCCTCTTTCGCAAGAAGATCTCTCTGGCAACATGCTTACTGGTTCAGGGAAGTCTGGCCATAAAAGATCGCTGTAATCAAAACAGGTTTACAGGCAAGCGTCGTGATTTGCTTGGGCTCTGCCATCTCTGATGTCCTTAGAATGGGTAAGAAAGTGCTGCTGCAGGTGGAAAGGAACTGCTTCCGCTTCGGGACCGTTCTGGAGTGAAGGGATGGGAGGCAGACACGTTCTTTATCAGTTCTGTGTCCCTCCAGTCGCTGAGGTGCAAATCAACGTGTTTGATTGCCAACGGTCAGTCTGCCAGGCAGAGCGCCATTCAGCAGCGAGGCCTCCAAAGCATAGACGGTACTTCTGGTCCAGCTGAAAAAGGTTAAGCAAATATATGTTGACACTCCTACTTCCATCTAACAATAGCAAGCGTCATTGGTTTGGAAGGGCAACGTAAGAAATGTGGTAAATGCAATAAGCTGCTCAGTGTTAGCTGTCTGTCTTGATGCAGCGCGCCCTGTGTGATGATGTCCAGTGCTCCCTGATGCTTGTTCTCTGAGCAGGTATTTCTGGTGAAGAGGAAGGTGATCTGTCACAGAATCCCAGCATCCCAGACGGGTGGGGGCTGGAAGGGCCCCCCGGAGCTCCCCCATCCCCCCCCCCGCCAGAGCAGCGGCGCCTCCAGCAGTGGCACAGGACGGCGTCCAGGCGGGTTTGGGATGGCTCCAGAGGGGGAGACTCCCCCACCTCTCTGGGCAGCCTCTGCCACTGCTCTGCCGCCCTCACAGCAGAGAAGGCCCTCCTCAGGTGGAGATGGAACTGCCCATGGTCACGTTTGTGCCCGTTCCCTCTTGGCCTGTCACTGGGCACTGCTGGAACCAGACTGTTCCCATCCCCCCGGCACCTCCCTTGAAGGATTTATCAGCGTTGAGAAGATCCCCCTCAGTCTTCTCTTCTCCAGACTGAACAGCCCCACGTCCCTCAGCCCTTCCTCAGCAGAGAGATGCTCCACTCCCCCCATCATCTCCGTAGCCCTTTGCTGGACCCTCTCCAGCAGTTCCCAGTCCTTCTTGACCCGGGGAGCCCCGAACTGGACACGGCGCTCCAGATGTGGCCTCCCTGGGGCAGAGCAGAGGGGGGGGATGACCTCCCTCCACCTGCTGGCCACACTCTGCTTGATGCCCCCACATCTGCTTACCTCGGGGGCTTTGTTCCCTCTTTCCAAACAGGGGAACTACTGCTGTGGATGGAGCTGGTTTTGGCATCGACCGTCCCGCCGAGCTGACCAAGGAGGACGATGAGTACGAGGCATTCCGTAAGCGGATGATGCTCGCCTACCGTTTCCGACCAAATCCATTGGTAAGGTGGTCCCGAAACCGGAGCAGACACAGTGACAAATCCATTGAGGCTTCTGTGCGTATCTTGGAAGGGTGGGAGTGTTCCTAGTGCTTAGCCAAGAGAGCAAATGCTGCGAATGTTTCTCTTTGATTCTCTTCTCATGCTGAATTGAATTATCGTTACCAAAACATCCATAGATGAGCAGTTTTCCTTGCTATAATTTTTTTTTTTTTTCCATATAAAAGCCCCTGGTTTTATACTTTGTACATACCAAATAAAATTAAACTCTACGCACAAAAGCAGCAGATGGGTTGTCCAGAAGTCCGTGGTTTATTTTGAATAATTGTTTTCCTGGTAGCAAAAGGCTTGTGAGTTTGCGTTTGCCTCTGTTAGATGCAGCATGCCAGCACAGCTAGAGAGCTACTTTTGTAATTTTTGATGGAAAACCTCAGGTTTCACTGTCAGTTATGTCATGTTTCAGTGGCTTTTTCAGATAATTAAGCTCACATGCTCATTGTTCTGTGAAGACAGCAATTTTGATTAATTTTCTTTTGTTATTCCCCACAGAACAATCCACGGCGACCTTACTACTGAGAATGTTTTGGGGACGATGTGTTTTTCAAAGCAATTGTAACTTGACTGTGAAATGTTATGAAACTGCATTATCATTCTCTTATTTGCTGATGTTGTAAAACTTATTGAAGTCGCGATACCATCTTTTCAGCCAGAAGAAAGGCCGGCGAGCCCGCTCGCTGCACACTCGAGCGTCACGACAGCGGTGTGGTAACGGGGCCTGGGTGGTGTGGAGAGAGGAGGAGAGAGCGGGTGAGAGCGGAGATCTTTACGCGGTGCCCTGCTGGCGGTGGAAGGGTCGCACCAAAGATACCGATGGGAATAGTTCAGGGACTCCATTCGCGTTTAGCTCAGTGCCATGTCACAAGGAAAGCATTTTTTTTTGCCGAACGGCAGATCCTCTGTCATTCAGATGCGCGGCTTGTGCTGCTCTGGGGTTGGGGTTTTGTTTGTTTGTTTGTTTGTTTGGGTTTTTTTTTAATTGCAAATACAACAAGGGCCCGTCTTGACCCGGCTTTTGGGGCTATGGTTCAGTCAGGCTGTTGTTTCCTGAAGAACTGGGTTCTGACGCTGTCACGGAGCCAGAAATATAGTCTGACCTTCAACTGACATTGCAAAAGCAGTGCCTAGTTGTTTTTATCTCTGCCCTGTGCAAGACGAGGCGCGGGTCGGTGTGGAGCGGGGCGGCGAGGGTTGAGGGGCGCAGGGCAAGCTCGTTCCGCTTCAGAGGCGACAGCCTCCTGGTTTCTTGAACACTAAGTTCCCCCCCCAGCTGCCTGGAGACTTGCTCACGCTTACTGGGGATGGGGGTGATGAAGAACCAAACCTTCAAACGTAGTTTGTCAAAGGCCATTTGGATTTCGTTGTAAGAAAACCCTCTACAAACACTGATTTTGTTCATTTCAGTCTGTAAATAAAATAAAACTCATTTGTTCCTTAGTTTTAATCACTGAGTTTTTGGAAAAGAGTGGTCGTACTGTGGGTTTTGACAGGCCACAAGACTGCTCCAGATCTCCTTCCTTCCACGCGTCTTAGAGAAAACAAAGTGACATTGGTTGATTCGGTTTCCTTTTGCATTTGTTTTCCCTCAGTCCAAATACTTGGTGTGTGATTCTCTTTTTTGTTAACTTTTCTTAACACCGTAGAGTCAAGGACTTGGCTTTCAATAAAAACATTTGAAACAGTAAATTCGGTAGGGGTTCATTCTGAGGAGAAAAAAAAAAACCAAAAACATCAAACTCCCCGAGTGCCTCGTGAGCGTGTGCGGCGCTGGGGAGCGCCCGCTGTGCCAGCGCATCGCGTACACCCACCACCGCTCCTACACGGGGATGGCGCACGTGGGATGGCGAATCGGCACGGGCAGTAACCATGGGATCCTAGAATGGTTTGGGTTGGAAGGGACCTTGAACCTCACCCCGTCCCACCCCCTGCCCTGGGCAGGGACACCCCCCACCAGCCCAGGTTGCTCCAAGCCCCGTCCAACCTGGCCTTGAACACCTCCTCGTCCCATCACTCCATGCCCTTGGAAAAAGTCCCTCCCCAGCTCTCCTGGAGCCCCTTTAGGCACTGGAAGGGGCTCTGAGGTCTCCCCTTTTTCGCCTCCTCTTCTCCAGGCTGAACCCCCCCACCTCTCCCAGCCTGTCCTCCCAGCAGAGGGGCTCCAGCCCTCCCAGCATCTCCGGGGCCTCCTCTGGCCCCGCTCCAACAGCTCCGTGTCTTTCCTCCGTTGGGAAATAAAGATAAGAAATCTGGCAGGTCATCAGTAGGGCCAAGTTCTGCTCAAACCATTAAGGTCACTGTGACAATTGTGCTTTCCCGGTAAGTTAGGACACCCATCCCTTTGCTCCCTCCCTCTCCTGGTAGTACCGCTGGGTCTTGGCTCCGGGCTGGCGTGAGCCGGAGCTGCCGAGCCGGTTTGCCTGAATGACCAGTAGACGGGACCGGTGCGGGGCTGACGTTGGACTGCCCGTCCCACTGGTGGGCTTTCCGTAGGAGCAGGGGCTTGCGGGGAGGCTGCTGGAGAGCGGAGGTGTTTCCGGAGTCTCCGTTTATTGCCAACGCGCGTAGCGTGACATCCTTCGGGCGCTGGCGATGACCTGGTGACAGCGTGGCCTCAAAGGCCGGGGGAGCGGGCAGGCTCTCTGCGGTTGCTGCTCGCATCTTTAGAGCTAATAATGGTGCTACGGCGATCCCCGCGTACATCGCTGATGTCGTGGTGGCACAAGTTGTTGTATTCCTTTATTTCAACCCAGCAGCCTCGGTCTTCCCGAGCCCCCTCTCTCCATAACCGCGTTCATCGGTAAGTGCTTTGCTCTGATTTTTTCTTAATGTTGTAAGTCCCGCGCTGTTCCCCGTGCCCTGCCGCCGGCAGCAGCAGGCAGGGGTCACTTCTGCAAGAAACCACTTAGCGCCGGTCCTCCTCCTCCTCCTCGCCGTCATTAGCTCCAAGCGGGGATTCGCTCCTCAGAAACCGTATCAAACGGGCGGCCGCTGCGGCGTGCCCAGAAGGTCACCGGAGTTGGTGATCCGAGAGGAAATTCCCGGTGCTCACCGTGCAGAGGTCGTGCCGGCTGTCCCTTCGGCGTGAGCGCACGGCTGACTGAGCCCGAGCGCCCGCAGTGATTTCGTGGCACCGGAGGGGGATATCCGCGAAATCACCCACCCGGGGGGAGACAAAGAGTTCGGGGCTCGTTTGCCCCAAGCGGCTGTTGCGAGCGCGGGGAGACGGGAGCGGCGCTCGGAGGAGGTTCGGTGTTTGGGAAAATCTGGAGATTATTGCGTCAAGTCACCCCAGATTATCTGCTTTCACACACACCCCTTTTTTTTTTACTTTTACAGGGTTTTAGGCTGCTTTTTGTACATCCCCCTGTACAAACGGGGCCGGTGGGTGGTTTCTCAGCTGCAAATCCACATCTCCTTAGCGTGCCCTGGAGACTCAACCCCTCCGGTGCTCTCAGGTGCGCTCCCTTCGCCGTA